TCCAGAGCAGCAAGCCGACCTTTCTTCAGTGAGGGCCACCAAAGATGAGCGTGTCAGCACTGATCTGGTGGCCCAAAATGGCCAATTTCAGCGAAAGAAATACCACACCAGAAGACCGGGCGAAGGCTTCTCTCCATGCCCCCACCCCCACCCCCAACCGTGATCCTGCCAAAGGCCTGCCACGCGATCCCATAGCGCTCACTCCCGGAGGTCCTGGGACACTCTGGTCAACCTCCCGGAGGGGGCCCAACGTGTGCTCCCGTGATGGAGGCACTTCCCGATCGCTCCCAGGCATGTGCTCGGGGATGGTGATCATGGGGATCACGCCGCCTCTAACAGTCCGGGTCTCATGAAGGGTGGAGGGGACACCTGGTTTGCAGGTGACTGGAGCCATCCACCAGGTATATTTCCCAACCCCCAAGTGGGTATTTGGAAAACATACAGTGGGGTTTCACCGTGCTCGGTGCCCATATTCGGTGTAAGGACACCGACTTCCTTGGCAACCGGGAGCCACCAGAGCTGCTCATTAGGCTCCAAGTTAGCACTTGGAACAATTCTGTTCCTTTGACGGTCTGGGTCTTCACCCTTGGACGGGTGGTCGCTGCCAGTCCCTGAAACAGAATTTCTACTGCTCAGAGTGTGAGCCCCGAGGGCAGGTTCCCAGGAGCCCTGGTGCCACAGTGATTACACACGTTCGGCTGCTCAGCTTGTCAAGAGTTCGCAACCACTAGAGGCTTTGCGGGAGAAAGGATTTTCTACACCCGCAAAGAATTCTTTCGGAAACTCAACGGAGAAGTTCCCTAACGAGTCTGAATCCACTAAGGGCCTGTCCTTGGAACTCACACGTGCGTTTTGAAATAATCAACCACCGCCTCCCACGGTCCGGCTTCACTAAAAGCGAGTCCAAGCACGTGCAGCGCACGCCATCTCCCTGGGTGACGGAGAGCCACCAGGACCGGTCTGAACCCAAAACGGGGTCTCAGATTCTCCGTAGTCTGAATCAACTAAGATTCACCACTCGTGGCTGAGTCTCCTGAGCCCAGGTAGGGTTACAGTGCACTTCACGGGTGCCTCCAAACGGCAGATAGCCCATGGGAGTCCCTGTGGATGAACGCGCTGTGCGTGCAGGCCTTCTACTTGTCCGTGACCGGGGTCCGGTCCGCGAGGTCACAGCGGGTGAGCGCCTTGTGCTGGTCGACCAAGCCTGATAGACACAGACACCAACGACGAGAGGGGCTGTGAGGCCCGCAAACCTGGAAGGCTGCCAATACAACCTCCTGCCCCCGCTCTGGGCCGGCGTTCTGTCAACGCCAGGACACCCAAGTGATGCGCTGGCCTCCTGGAACTCTGTGGCGGGCAACACAGGCCGCTCACGTCCCATCCTGTTGGCGACTGAGCTCCGGCGAGAAAGTTAAAGTGACCGCTAGGTGGCAGACGACAGGCGTGACAGGTGACAAGGAGGATTTGGAAAACAGGAAAAATAAAATGTTTTAGATAAATATTAACTTAAACTAACAAAATTAAGATAAATATAAGGTACAGGATTATGTAAAAATTATTTAAGTATAAAATGAAATTCTATTAAGTCGAATATTGAAGGCAAACATTGTTTTACATTAAATTTATTAAAATAAATTATATACAATACTATGAAATAATAAACACAGAAAGTGAAGCCTTTAAACAAATAAAAGAAAATAAATCAGTAAAATGTGTTTCAATTTCGTGTAGCATTAAATTGTATTAGATATATATAAGAAACTGAAAATAATTGGAGATTAAACTTACTTTAAATCAACGTTGAATGGCAGTGAATACATTCAGATAGTGAATTCACTTTGAAATACAATAATATAATATAATTAGAATTATTATAACACAATAGCAATGTACTTAATATGGCATTAAATAACAGTAATAAAATTGAGTACAATTATATTACATTTAACAGAAATACAGGAATTGAAAATCAATGAATAAATGTTATTTCCAAACTGGTTGTAAGATGGTGCTGACAACATTTCTGAATCTCCATGATGGTGTTCTTTTAAAAAGTAATGAATGTTCTTTATTGTACAAATGTGGTGTGCCTGCTCTGCCTGAGGGCCGGATTGTGCCCTCCAGGACCTCTCGCCAGTTGAACTGTCTGGGAATCTGGAGGTGCGTGAACTCCATCTCAGCAGGGTTGTTAGTGCAGGGTACCTTGCTACCCCTGGACTGGCAAGAAATCATCCCTCAGCTATCCATTTGATCCTCACCTTCTTCATGGGCCTAGCACAAATCCTTCCAAAACCTAGCACCCTGAACTTAACTGCACTCTCAGTCTGCAAAAATGACCTCTGAATTAGGTGCCTTGTCCGCACACAGCATATACGCTGACAAGAACGCCATCCAGGAAAGACATTGCCCCCCAAATGGCCAAGGCAAGACAGTCTTACCCCTTACTCACCCCGGTCCCTGCCCTAGGAGCTCCTTGACAGGCAGGAGGCGCTGACTCATTCTGGGTGCTTGCACCTCCTAGTTTTCCCCTGTTGCTTTTTCTTTTCCTTTTCTTGACATTCCTTTGCTTTGTATTATTTCTCTGCTTTCCTTTTTCTTTATTTTTCTATTTTCCGTTGACCACTTTCTTTTCTCGGACTGTCTCATCTTTTTCTTCCCCTTTACTGTTCCTCACCCTGCGCTCTACTCCCATCAAGGGTTACAGTCTTGGAAACTCCCAGGGCACTTCTACTCTGTCCTACTGGGTTGCTATGAGTCAGCCTCCCAGTCTTGTTCTCCTTACCTCTTAATTTTCTGGTCTGGCTGCAGATCTACATGGATCCCATCTTCCCTCTCTCCCACTTACTCTTTTTAAAGTTACAGTTCATCCACTAATTTTACCTTCTGCTTCTGTTCAAGCATGCTTTAATCTTAGGCAGGGGATAAATGAGGTTTTTGGCCCTTAAAGATGGACTGAGAAGCCCACTGAGGGCTGCTATGAGGGGAAACATTTTTAGTTTCTTGGTAGCCCAATTAGCTGAATAAAAATTCTTCTACATTTCAAGACATTATAGTGGCTGTCATTTATGTGAACCCTCAACATTAAAAGTCAAGGGAAGGTTTTCACACTAGAAGAAACATTCGTTGATGGTTACCAGGAATAGGGATGGACGTGGGGGAGGGGAAGGTGTGGACTACAGGGTCAACAAGTATTAATTTGGGTGAAAGGGAAAGAAATATATACTAAGAGGAAGGTTAGGAGAAAAGGAAGGAGACAAGGGAAAATATCTGGAAAATTTTCATGAGTGAAAAGCAATAGAGACAAATACTCATAGACACAATCCTGCGATCGTTACTTGGATAGACATGCAGGCTGAACGGGTGTGGCAGGGAGATCAGAATACAATGAAAAGATACAATTCTGAAGGGAACGTTTCCTGATTTTAAACCATGCAGTAGTTTCTTGTTCTTTTAGATTCTTGTATCTTATTTATCTTCTGGAATTTGATTTGGAGTCCTATGAATTCTAATTTTTTTTTCAAATCATTTTTCCATAGTAATCAGAGCAACCAGTCTCCTGTGGACTTAAGGCATTGGTTACTTAGCCGTGGTGCCCCAAGGAGAAAAATACATGGGAAACCTACTGTGTTGGACAGGGTTCTCTAGAGAGATAAAATCAAATTACTGATAATTTAATATATTTATTTATAAAGATAATTAGATATATATAACACAAGAAATGAACTGTTAAATTATATACAGATGGATATATAATACAAGAAACGAACAGTTAAATTATGAAGCAGTACAAATGGCTCAGTGTAACTCACTCCCATGAGAGAGAGTTGTGAGACACTAGCAGTCCTTCAAGTCAAGTCTGCTGCCAGGTCTTCCTCTATATATCGAGAGAGCTAGGCTATCTCAGCACAGCAGCCAATCACAAGGCAGGTCACCAACTGTCAGCCAGGTCACCAACCGCCAGTCCCCAGCTCCAGAGATATCTTAAAGGGACCTCAACTTACAGTGACACAGTTCACAGGCTAGGTGTCTGACAGGTAGTGTAGCCTGTAAATTGAGGCACAGAACAAGCAAGGTAAACAAAACAGTATAACAATTCATATGAAGACCAATGGATTACAATTGAAAACAAGAAATACAATTAAATATCTATAGACACGTAATCTTCGATAAAGGTTTAAGACAGAGGAAGTGGGGCAGAGATAGCCTTTCTCTCAGAGATCCAAGTTAAGTTGGATCTTCACCTGCAAAAAAATTTTTTTAATGAAGAGGACCCATACTGCACACCGTGTACAAAAATGAACTCACCATAAATCAGAGACCTAAACAGAAACCCTGAAACCCAAAGGTTAACGAAAAATTAGAGACAAACTAAAGGGCACTAACACAAGACCCAACCACACTGTGAACATAATGGAATATCCGCAGTACAGAAGAAATATAAAGAACTGGGACCTACTCAAAATACAACATTTATGCACATCGAAAGACTTCATCAAAGAATTTACAAAGAGGGCACAGACTGAGAAAACCATTCAGTAATAATACATCTGATTAAGGGCAAATCTCCAAAATCTGTGGCAACTACAATATTTAACAAGAAAAATACAAATAACACAATTAAAAAATAAGCACAAGAAAAAAATATAAAATTCATTAAAGACAGCATCCAGGTGTCCATCAATCATATGAAGAAATGTTAACATTCACTAGGAAGAAGAAAAAAAAATATATGTATTTCCTAAAGAAATAAAGAATACAGCACAAAGAGACATGTGCACACCTATGTTTATTGTTGCATTTTACCAAATATCAAAAACAAGGAAACAACAAAGATACCTATTATAAAGGAATAGACAAACCCTGGTACTTCCATGCAATAGAATATTTAATTTACTATCAATTAAAACAAAATGACTGTCGGGTTAGGCACAAGTAGAGTGAGGCGAGGATCACAGACTCTCAGTTCCCGTTTCCACTGCGTAGACCATATCTCTGCAAAGATGGCCAATGTATCCCAAGCCCAAAGAACTTTCTGTTGCGGCAAGCATCAACGTCACAAAGTGACCCAGTATAAGAAGGTCAAGGATTCCCTGTACACACAAGGAAAGAGGCGCTATGGTGGGAAGCAGAGTGGCTACGGTGGGCAGACAAAGCCAATTTTCAGGAAGAAGGCTAAACCCACAAAGATCATGCTGAGGCTTGAATGTGTTGAGCCTAATTGTAGGTCCAAGAGGATGCTGGCCATTAAAAGATGCAAGCATCCTGAACTGGGAGGTGAGAAGAGAAAAAGGGCCAAGTGACCCAGTGCTAAGCCTTGTTTTGTTGGTGGCTTTACTAAACAAATATATTTTCAAATTTAGTTTAGGAGGCTAGACATCCAAATTCAGCTCTGCTTTGAAGGAAACTTGACCTTCTGCTCCTGAATAATCTTCTTGTATCTTAGCCTATCTTCCCCCATCTCTGCTACCTCACTTGCTTGTTTACTTTCTTTTATATCTCAAGAGATTGACTCAAGATACACAATACAATAATCCTGCCTCATTAAAATAACAAAGGAACCCCAGGCCCAGCTCCAATGGGATTTTTTGGTAAATGCAGTTTCACTCAAACTGCATTTTTTGGGATGGCCAATTTTTAAAAATTATTTTATTGGAGGCTCTTACAACTCTTATCACAATCCATCATCCATCCATCCATCCATTGTGTCAAGTATATTTGCATATTTGTTGCCATCATCATTCTGAAAACATTTGCTTTCTACTTGAGCCCTTGGTCTCAGCCTCCTCATTCTTTTCCCTCCCTCCCCGCTCCACCCCCCATGAACCCTTGTGTGTTAGACAGGGTTCTCTAGAGAGATAAAACCAAATTGCTGATAATTTAATATATTTATTTATAAAGATAATTAGATATATAAGAAGAAAT